GGTGAAGAAGAATTTTGTTGTTTTACATGACCCCGAGACTGGATAAGAACACATAATTTATCAAGATGAAAGAAAGTTGTTAGCGTCAAATAGGGGGAGTTTGTTGACAAGTGATGCAATGCCTCCTACAAGTGATGAAGATTTGAAGATATCAACCTTATGTTGGATCTAATATTGATGTGTGTCTAGTTTGATTATTAGTTAAACTGTATGGGATAAGATGTTAAAAGACAAAGGAATGAGGTTTTAGAAGTTGTAGAAAAGTTATTTAGAAATTTCTGATTTAATCCATTAAACTGTTCAAAGTGAAATATGAAAAATAAAAAAAAAACAAATTATATCAGATTTACATATTAGAAAAACAAAGGCAACATCTGAAACTTGTCTGACTTAATTGATTAAATCACATTTAATCAGATGTGCAACCGATTAAACTGATTTTAACCTACTAAAATGCATGAGTTATGTTTATCTAGAACCCACCAAGAACATTTTAACAGATATATCCGCCAGTATAAAATATTGAAGGATATCATACTATTTTGGAACGCCATTGCACATTACACTGAAGGACATATGTCTGACATAAATTTAACTACATCCAGGACAGAGTAATGTAAAAAAGAAAATATTTTAAGGTTAAACAGATAGTTGTCAACTAATAGCTATACATCAAATAGAACCAGATCAAAATATTCTTAATAGAAAATAAATTATATGACAGATAGTGTATTACCTTCTCAGGAACTTTGCTGAAGACCAGAGTCTTAACAATTGGTGAAACTATCAACTTTTGTGACATCTGTGCAAAGCTTGCATTGGGTTCTAAAAGATTTGATGGACCAAGAAACAAGATTTGTAGGACCATTCTTTCCCATCCTGCAGAATAGAACAATCTGGTTCAAATGAAAAGTAACATGCTTTGTGCAAGTTGAAAACAATAATAATCACAATATCGAGCCAACCTTTTTGTCGGTTCCTTTTGTCGTCAACTACAGGTTCATCAGGTACCTCCTTTCCTTTACTGAGAAGTTTCACAGCCAAACCATTTTTCGCAGATGCTAACAAGGATTCTTTGCTTATACACTCAGGTGGTTGTCTTGGGACAAAAATAACAGCATCTGTCACCAATAGTGTTTTTGAAGGTTTGTGGTAGAAAGCTACCTCAACATAAGGTCCAATTCCTGAAACAACCACAAGCAAATAAGATTTTTCATCATGGATTTACAAGAATTGAAAGGAATTTTGAAGAGATTCTACAAGTCATATTATACCAGTACTTCACAAATATTTGGTTAAGCTTATGAAAGTGACTTATGTATTATAACCTCTCCCACCTTTCATTTCATCAATGTGGTTTGAGAACATGAAAAGGAGGGATCAGTGGAAGAACAAGTTACGAGAGTAGATTCCATGTTATTTAGTAATGTGAAAAGGGAGAGAGACACAAAAAAGGACATTGGAAGTTGTTACAAAGCATCTCAAGGTAAATAATATCTTCAAATGTTGATACTTAAACATGTCAAATGACAACATGTGATCCATGTAATTATTGACTTTACCTAGTGATAAGGATTCTTTCTTTTTTTATTGTAGTCTATTTCAATAAACTTCATTGTAAAATTTATAGAAGACAGCTTATTTAATAAACTCTGATTAAACAAGTGTTATAATTTTTAGTTCTTTACTCAAACACGCCTCAAGTCTAAAATTATGTATGAAGAAGTGGCAATTACCAACTTCTGGTGAGCTTAGAATCTTTTGCTCTATTTCTCCAGCCCAAGGAGTGGATAAATCATTGTCTTTCAAGGTTTTAGCACGAAAAATACCAAAGAATTCCAATGGTAAGTTCAATGGCCAACTCCATTGCCTTGGTGCCACCCACACCTGAGCAAGGGGAAATTTTCTAGAAAATGGACCAACAAATACTTTGTGCTCATAAGCAAAAGTGGGGAGGACAATATATTCAACAGGAGCCCCCAATTCCTTAATAAGCTGCAAGAAACAAAAAAAAAAGGCATGTTAAGAATGCATAACAGAATCACCCTCTCAATATGTTTTGTTTTTACAATATTCATGTTTCATAAAAGTAACCTTGGATCAAGTCATACAAAAATTGCCAAGCAGCATTGATAAGGAATCAAAGTTTGCATTAGTCTCTTCAAGTTTGCAGATTTCTAAACACTAACGTTGTTTTACTTTCATTGAGGTATACTACCATTTACAAGTTTGCAAGCTCAAAGTAAGAGACTAGGCTGTCAGAGTGGAACCTGAATACACTCATCAGTTGGTGCTATGGGAGCATGAACCCATAAGCCCCCAGATTTGAGTTTGATAACAGTCATTCTTATGTTTGTGGAAACACTGCTGAAGCCTAATGCCTGCTCTTGTTCGAATAGCCATATACAACCTTTCACAGCCTACAACATGATTCAGAGAACATTTCCTGTTAGTGTCTCCAAAACAGAACTTCCTGCCAAAATTTGTAGCAAAACGTTCACAACAAATAACATGACTTCTATGTACAAGGAAATACCAACAACATGCCACTAAGCTTTTTATGCAAAGCCAAAACAAAACTTATTTCACCAAGTAGTTAAAAGCATTTGATTTGAATTGAATCCAATGAAAGTAGAGAATACAGTGATTTGCACATCTAGTCTCAGGAATTACTTCATTGTTCATTCAACCAATAATCCTTATATAGCGTGAAATAACTTTTCCAGAGAAATTAGATAAAAAAAATGTTGACATTGTAAAGGTTTTTTACAGCATCATCCAAAAAGAAATAACCAAACTTGTTGATCTCTTTATAACAACTACCTTAAAAGTCGTTAGGATGATTTCTGATTGATTCAGAGAGCACAAACTTTTGCATTCATGAGATAACTACATTACTATAAACATCAAGTCATAGATAACTCAAGGAACAAAAACCTCAACCAAATCAATTAAATGATCAAAGTAGTCATCCAAACATCAGATAAACCAAGACTGCATACCTCAGTCCTAATAGTGCGCCTGTTCAGAAAAGGACCAAGTGGGAAAGGAAATCCAGTGATGTTAAAGTAAAACCTGCCACCAGAATTGCTCTTTGAGACACTTGGGGTGGCAGAAGCAGAAGCCACAGCCAAATTGGAAACGTCTCTTCTTTTTGGCCTTGGTTACTGATGCAAGCAAAGACCCTTCAAAGATCCCCCAAAACAACTTGAAGATGAGTCACCCAAATAGATGGGGTTCTGCAAAAGTGTGGACTTTGGAGAAGAAACAGCAATGGGTGCCACCATTTTCTGAAGAACCTCACTTTGTCACCATAAAGCAATGGTTTTGAAACTGTAATCATCAAATGCAGTGGGAAGCCTCGTTGGATATGCTTTCGACACGTGGAATCTGTTGGTGGATAGTTCTACAGAGATGTTTATGGACCTCAAATTAATTGTGGAAGCTGTGAAGTAAGGTTAATGTTTGAAGTGTACGAGAAAAAAATAACTAACTTGAGATTAGGACAAAATTTAGAGAAAGTTTTGTTTTTGGACTATGTTGCCTCTCTAATTAAAATTAGAGTTTGAGCTTAATAACTCATTTGTCTTAAATTCAATTTTAGTTCTAATCTTTAAAGTGTGTTTGTATGTATTTGTTACATTTTGATTAATTGAGTGTTTTTAATAATACTTTAAGTGAACAAGTTAAATGTTCAATCAACACAAAATAAATGAAACATATTTAAAATTGAATATCATACATTGTGAGTTTTTTTTAGAAGACTAAATATTTTTAGTACGGTGATGTTTTAACAATTTTTTTTAACAATTATCCAATCACAAACTACCACCTAAATTATTATAAAAACTTGTCAAAAAAATTGTTAAAAAAATATTTTCCATACTTTTATTTAAGATAAGAGGTAATATTTTGGATTAAATAAAAAACAAAAATTATATCTAAACCTATTTCATTTGCATGAAAGTTTAATGCAAATTACTGAAAACAATCTTCAATTTTGATTAAAACAAGAATTTAACAGTTATGTAATTTTATTATCAACTAATTATAAATGGTAATAATAAGTATATATATTTATAATTAAATAACAATAATAATGTACAAATATAAATATAATTGCACTATGTATAATTAAACAATACATTATAAACTTGGTGGAGTTTTGAATTGCTTCTTTTTGGAAAAGTTTGATTTTTAATTATAAAATGTCACTATTTTTTTAAACGCTTGTATCAAAATCTATGTAATAAATTTTATTCGTTTTTATGCAAATATTGGAAATAAAAACAAAATACCAATAAGACAACTTTGTATAATTAAAAGTAGGATAAATAATGATTTTGATATTTGAATACGTAAATCAGTATGATTTAATTTCAATGAGGATAAAAGTAGTCCTTGGAAGCAAACTTTGTGATTGAATGTATATAAAAATGTAATAATTATATTGTGTTATTAAATTTTGTGAACTGTAATATGTAATATTTCAGGATCAATTTAATATTAAATTATTTTTTTAAGAACTTTTTGATACTAGGTTATTAAGTTTAAGATTAATTATACTACTTTACATAATAAGTACCGATCACTAATCAATTGATTAAAATAATAAATATTAATCACTGGTTCAAATTCATTTGTTTAAAATAAATAAATAAAATGTATTTTCACAACCAGGTGGCCTTAAAATAATTTTAGTAATGGGTACCACAATTTGTAATATATAGGAAAAACTTTTTTTCTATTATTGGTGTCTGAAATATTCCTAAAGAACCAAACTTCATAATTCAAAAAGTATAACCAGAATACGATGAAAGCATTTATAAGAAAGAACTACTACAATTAATATTTTAAATAAGGCTTAATAGTGTTTTTAAGTCTTAAAAAATGTAGGATGAATTCAACTTTGATCTTTTAAATTTAAAGATGAATTAGTATCCAAAATTTGATAAAAAAAAACCTTTTACAAAATTTAAGGGACAATTTTGTAAAAAAAAAATAAAAATCTGAAGAACAAAACTGAATTTACTCTTGATTTTAGAGACTAAACACGTAGTTAATTTTTTGAAACAATAATTAATCTTATATATTCAAAGCATATAAATAAGTTTCATAAAAGCTGTATTATCAAGTTAGGTTATATTTTTTAAAACAAGTTTTGTGGAATAGCCAAATACTAGACTAAACCGTGTTTTCAGTTTCATTGTATGTTCAAATAATCACATGATAAAAGTTTAAAATGAATATAAACTTGTTCGAATGCATTGAATAATTGCTTTTCAGCAAATGAATACTCTGTAGAAGTTCATTTCAGACTGCAGAAGTACACACACAAATGGAATAAACTGTTTCATGTATTTAAATCCTTTGACAAACTCCATTATGCCTGCATAAACTATGACAGATGCATTTCTTAAACATGGTGCCAGTTCTTCTATACAGCCAGACATACATTAAACATACACTTCCTAAGTAGAGTAGCAGAAGTTGAAGCAACCAAGCATAGAGAGGAAGGTCAATAATTTCAAATTATGCAGATTGTATTTCCATACATAGCAGACAAATAGCAAGATTACTATGTACAACTTAAGAAACATAATAGTATAAGCTGTATTGGAAGTAACATCCATGTGTCCATCCATACAAAATAAAACTTGACATAATCAGACAAATACTTGCCACCAGGAAAAAGGCACAAGCATTTATCATTACCCAACCACACAGCCCTGGTTCCACCAACTAGCCAACTTCAACTAAAGCTAAAATCAAGACTCAAGTATACAGAGATTGAGAGTGACCCTGAATGGGAAGATAAATGAGAGCTTGTAAAAGGGATGTCGGCTAATTACAAAGTAGAAGATATATGTTGTTGACTTAATGCTTGCAAAGTTGGCGCCTGTACTAGTTCACAATCTTAAGCGATGATTTCCCTGACAAGCCAATCCAAACTAGGATAAGAGAAGTACAAAATGAGAAAAGATGGGAGGGCAAACAGAATTGTAACAAGTACATACAGAGCCAAAATGGCAGCACTGGCCGGTATTGCATATAAGACAATCAAAAGAAATATAATGACCAATGGGAACTTTGCCGTCACCTGGACAAAGAACAACAGTGACTTCCGAAAATAAACATAGAGTCTTTCCATATTGAGGAGATTACCAGTATTGCCATGATATTGATTATAATTTGATACCTCTGGATGGCGGACTTGCCCCCTCCGATGGTTTCCATGGCTTACCTGGCTTCCCATGGTTAAATTGTCTTTAAGTGAGTGTTGTTGGTTATCACCACATAAAGGTGAATGTGATTTCAGTCTATCACCATTCATGCTCTCAACCATCCAGAGAAGAAAGTAGTTTTTGCGAGGGAATTTAAGATTTCCACGGTAAACTAAACGGAAAGATAGAAGGTTGCACCATGGACAGGAGATAAAAAGAGGAAGTTGAACAGGCAGTGTTGGAAATTTCACAACAGCCCATTGCAATCCAAGGATGCAATTTTTACAAAGAGTATGGCCACACCATAAAACATAGGGCACGTTTTCAACAATATTGAAAGATTCCCAGCATATTGGGCATTCCAGTCCTTCCTCTCTGCCTATAATAGAAGTCTCGTCATCAGAACATTCTGACGTAGAATGAGTAGGCTTTGAAGAATCACTTTTCACTCCCACAGTTCCAGCAATGCAATTTGATGCAAAGCTCCACATTCTGAATTACAATATGTAAATAATCAATCAGGAAGTATCATCCAGATGTCAATTTATCATTAATGCTCACCCAAAAGCATAAATCAGTAACATACCTGCAGGACAAACTCACATGAGTAACAAGAATAAACCATAAAATATAAACAAAAAAAAAAGCGATAATAATATTTTGACTCGACAATACAAATTTTGTATAGACTGAAATTAAATTCATTTGAAGTAAAGCTATAGCCATCATCATATGCAATCCAGTTAATCTACTGAATGCATTTGACACACTTTCTATAACCATCACCAATCAGGAACCANCCAAATACTAGACTAAACCGTGTTTTCAGTTTCATTGTATGTTCAAATAATCACATGATAAAAGTTTAAAATGAATATAAACTTGTTCGAATGCATTGAATAATTGCTTTTCAGCAAATGAATAATCTGTAGAAGTTCATTTCAGACTGCAGAAGTACACACACAAATGGAATAAACTGTTTCATGTATTTAAATCCTTTGACAAACTCCATTATGCCTGCATAAACTATGACAGATGCATTTCTTAAACATGGTGCCAGTTCTTCTATACAGCCAGACATACATTAAACATACACTTCCTAAGTAGAGTAGCAGAAGTTGAAGCAACCAAGCATAGAGAGGAAGGTCAATAATTTCAAATTATGCAGAATGTATTTCCATACATAGCAGACAAATAACAAGATTACTATGTACAACTTAAGAAACATAATAGTATAAGCTGTATTGGAAGTAACATCCATGTGTCCATCCATACAAAATAAAACTTGACATAATCAGACAAATACTTGCCACCAGGAAAAAGGCACAAGCAATTATCATTACCCAACCACACAGCCCTGGTTCCACCAACTAGCCAACTTCAACTAAAGCTAAAATCAAGACTCAAGTATACAGAGATTGAGAGTGACCCTGAATGGGAAGATAAATGAGAGCTTGTAAAAGGGATGTCGACTAATTACAAAGTAGAAGATATATGTTGTTGACTTAATGCTTGCAAAGTTGGCGCCTGTACTAGTTCACAATCTTAAGCGATGATTTCCCTGACAAGCCAATCCAAACTAGGATAAGAGAAGTACAAAATGAGAAAAGATGGGAGGGCAAACAGAATTGTAACAAGTACATACAGAGCCAAAATGGCAGCACTGGCCGGTATTGCATATAAGACAATCAAAAGAAATATAATGACCAATGGGAACTTTGCCGTCACCTGGACAAAGAACAACAGTGACTTCCGAAAATAAACATAGAGTCTTTCCATATTGAGGAGATTACCAGTATTGCCATGATATTGATTATAATTTGATACCTCTGGATGGCGGACTTGCCCCCTCCGATGGTTTCCATGGCTTACCTGGCTTCCCATGGTTAAATTGTCTTTAAGTGAGTGTTGTTGGTTATCACCACATAAAGGTGAATGTGATTTCAGTCTATCACCATTCATGCTCTCAACCATCCAGAGAAGAAAGTAGTTTTTGCGAGGGAATTTAAGATTTCCACGGTAAACTAAACGGAAAGATAGAAGGTTGCACCATGGACAGGAGATAAAAAGAGGAAGTTGAACAGGCAGTGTTGGAAATTTCACAACAGCCCATTGCAATCCAAGGATGCAATTTTTACAAAGAGTATGGCCACACCATAAAACATAGGGCACGTTTTCAACAATATTGAAAGATTCCCAGCATATTGGGCATTCCAGTCCTTCCTCTCTGCCTATAATAGAAGTCTCGTCATCAGAACATTCTGACGTAGAATGAGTAGGCTTTGAAGAATCACTTTTCACTCCCACAGTTCCAGCAATGCAATTTGATGCAAAGCTCCACATTCTGAATTACAATATGTAAAAAATCAATCAGGAAGTATCATCCAGATGTCAATTTATCATTAATGCTCACCCAAAAGCATAAATCAGTAACATACCTGCAGGACAAACTCACATGAGTAACAAGAATAAACCATAAAATATAAACAAAAAAAAAAGCGATAATAATATTTTGACTCGACAATACAAATTTTGTATAGACTGAAATTAAATTCATTTGAAGTAAAGCTATAGCCATCATCATATGCAATCCAGTTAATCTACTGAATGCATTTGACACACTTTCTATAACCATCACCAATCAGGAACCATATTAACACCATTAATATACATTTTGTACCTATAAAGATTTTCTTTTGAGTTTTCTGTTCCAGTTCCACATTACTCTGTCAGTAGTAAAAATCCAACTTTTTCCTATTTATCCTTTGGGATTGGCAGTGAAAGGGCCAGCCAACTGGCAAGAATCTCAGAATCACACACTAACGCATAGAAAGTAATTTCTTTAATCATACTCATGAAAGAACTAATGAATCCGTGTTTGCTACTCCCTAAATATGAAGCATAGGTTAGTAGGATCCAGGGAGCAATCAGCCCTGATGACCTACATATTTCATTAAAAATCAGCTTTCAGTATTTGATAAAAAAAATGGCTATATGCCACTACCTCCAACCCTACATAATTAATAAACATGGAACCAGAGGAACTCATACCCAAGTAGATGAAAAGACATTAGCAAATAAAATCTCAAAACAGCATAGCATCTAGCCATATAAAAAGTTTTGTTTTCAAGAAGTTACCTTCAGTCCTAAGAAGAATTTTCCAACCACTGTTTTGTACAGAATGCTAGACATGAAGAACACAAACATAGGCATGTGTGGATGTATTCACGATTACAATCTACAGGTATGATCATGAAGCGTGCACACAACACTACTATAGTTGATGGTATATAAATATAGTTCAATCCAGTCACCAATCAGTAAACAAACACGAGTAACATGTTTAACTAGCTGCTTACTCTTATATGCACTGACTCAACGGTATAGCATAACTCAACCATACAGTTATATTAACATTTAACTTCAAAACTCACCACCTAGTGATCAGCATTACACTTTTCGTTTTGGCCAAGCACACGAAAAGCTTGGCATGTAGATACCAATGAAATCAATTATTGTGTACGCAAATGCATACTAGCTAAAAATTTAACTCCAAAGTTCCAACCCATTTAAGTTACTAATAACTTTATAGCAGATAAGAAACTTACCAGGCCAATCTCCTATGTTTGAATTTTATGAATTTAGGAGAAAGAAACACAAATTTTTTTATATATAAAAAAGAAGAAGCATAAAACCAATTTTTTTATCCATGTATACTAAAAACCATGCCTTTATTTCTTGAATAACCCTATCACCCAATTCAGAGATCAGGAGACCGTTTAAAAGGCAGAATTTTAAGGGAAAAGATTCCATATTCTCACTTCTGCATAGTTCATATCAAACTTCACCTCATTTCATGAAATCATTTCATAGCTAGCCCCAATTCAAATGGGGACTCAGAAATCAAATTCAGCTTCTTAAAAATCCCAAAGCCCCCATAAACAACAGCACCCTATCAAAACGGTCAACATTTTAACCAGTTAATCAACAAGAAAAAAAGAAAAGCAAATTTTAATCCCAAATTATTTATCAGCAAAAAACCTAATTCAAAAACCAAGCGTCTAAGTAACACGAAAAGAAAAAGAAGAATAAGCAGAAACGAAATTGGATGGGGAAAAGAAGAGAATACCGATTAGGCGCAAAATTAGAGACTTGGTGAAGAGGAGGAGAGGAGAGTGACAGTGGCACCATGTAAGAAAGGGAGAAATGGTGGTTTCTCCAATTTGACTGAAACCAACTCATTGATAAACGACGTCGTTTATTGACCTGGTCCCACCCATGCAAAGGCCTTGATGTCTAACTGAGTGATAAAAAATGGTACAAGATTCTCTCCACACACCTAAAATTTTTACATTCATTTGATAATATCCTTACTTATTTTTTACTTTCTTATTTCTTGAAAAGATACAAAAATTTATATTTTTATAACCATTTTACCTTTACATTCTGTGTTAAATGAACGTAAAAGTATATCATGATATCATTATTCTATATAAAAAGATTATGTGTCAAATGAATGTAAAAGTGTATCATGATATCATTACTCTATATAAAAAGTTATGCGCAAAGAGAAGCAAAAATATTCATGATATACGTGATGTTTTAAGTTTAAGTATTTATGAATAATGGGTAAATAGTAATATCATTATAAATGAGTACAAATATATATTATTCATATTAACATATATCAATTACTTCGTAAAAAATTAAATTAAAATTAAATTTATATTTTATGATAAATTTAATTAAAATTAAAATTTAATTTATATTTTGTTATGTTAAATTTAATCAAAATTATATTTATATTTAATTTAATTTACATCATAAAAATGGTTAACACACATACATGCATGTGTTTTCACTTTATTATTCTGAATTTGAAGGAACACTCAACAAAGATTTAGTTTACATTAAGATTAGATGACATAATAAAGACATTTTCGAGAAAGATTAACTCAGAGTACATAAAATGTTTGGTAAAAATATCTTTTAAGGTATATGTTTACTACATGGTATTATAATTAGTTGGAAGAATAATTTACAAAAAGAAAAGTCGTAGTTTATCAATCACTAAAGCAAAATATACTACTATGACTGAAGTTGTGAAAAATTCTAGTCATAGAGCTAAAGGTGCAAGACCAGATTGTCATTGTCTATTGTGACAAAAACAACACTATACAGTTATACAAGCTCCACATATGTCGTGGAAGAATGAAATAGATTGATATCAAGCAGTATTTTACAAGAAAGGGTCTTACTTGAGGGCTTGTGAAGATGATGAAGGTTTGAAAACATTATAATCCCTCTAATATGATTACAAATGTTGTACTTGGTAACAAGTTCTTTTATTGTTTGAACTTGATCCAACTAATTGATAATTAATCATGTAATGGGCTTATGGCAAGTAACAATTCTCATTCAAGAATTTGTAATGAACTAAGGTAGAGATTTGTGGAGATTGGTTTAATAAAATCAAAGTTCCTATTTCATCTGACTTTTCCATATTGTTTAAAGTTCAAGATCATATACTTGTTCAATTATGTATATTTTGACCAATGTACTTGTCTTTTATAAAAGCATTTGATGACATTATACTTTAATTTTCTTTTCTACTTGTATCATTTAAAGAGTCTTCCTAAGTGATGTTTCAAACTCAATAATGGAATCATTGTTAAACCTGTCTTTTCTACTAGTTTAAAGGTCGTTTACAAAAGTTAGTTATGGTGATCATTGGCTAATGAAAATAATATGTCTTGGAAAGTCCCACATCATTTTGGAAAAGCAAAGGAGTGGGTGATAACAGCTATAATGGACTCTAATTCTATTGTGTTTCTTGCTCCAAATCAAAGACACTTTAAGTTTGTATTTAGGTTAAATTTTTGCTTTAGAGAGTTTGGGTGTACTTGGAGATCAAAGGGCATGGGAAAGTGGTTTATGAGTAGTACAAATATTCGTAGTGTTATTTTTTGGTTGTCTTTAAATTACTATCCTAAACTGATGCTCATGAATGATTATAGTAATTACTGTAATATTACACAATAAATAAAAAATGACATTGTGAATAACTAAAATCAAGAGTCATAAATGACAAGATATTGATCATAATATTTCATTCTATCTTACTTGCAATTTCAAGTATTCTAAAACATTATTACACTCCAATCAAGATAATCAATCATTACATATTCAAGTCATTCAAATATAATTTTAATTAGCAAATTACAATAGAATTTTAATTAACAAATTACGANAATATGTCTTGGAAAGTCCCACATCATTTTGGAAAAGCAAAGGAGTGGGTGATAACAGCTATAATGGACTCTAATTCTATTGTGTTTCTTGCTCCAAATCAAAGACACTTTAAGTTTGTATTTAGGTTAAATTTTTGCTTTAGAGAGTTTGGGTGTACTTGGAGATCAAAGGGCATGGGAAAGTGGTTTATGAGTAGTACAAATATTCGTAGTGTTATTTTTTGGTTGTCTTTAAATTACTATCCTAAACTGATGCTCATGAATGATTATAGTAATTACTGTAATATTACACAATAAATAAAAAATGACATTGTGAATAACTAAAATCAAGAGTCATAAATGACAAGATATTGATCATAATATTTCATTCTATCTTACTTGCAATTTCAAGTATTCTAAAACATTATTACACTCCAAACAAGATAATCAATCATTACATATTCAAGTCATTCAAATATAATTTTAATTAGCAAATTACAATAGAATTTTAATTAACAAATTAAGATTAATTCTACACCAATGCAACCAATCAAACAATTTTTTGGACCAAGTCCAGTAACCACGAGAGAGTCACTCATCAAACCAAACATTTTGAACCCATCTTTTTCTACCACACAGAAAAAACCTTGGAGGCTACTACTTTATAGAATCGATACCAATCTTACTACTAACCTTGTCTTTAGAGTGAATCTTCCACTTACAAAGAGGCTATTCAAAACCCATGTTGGATTAAGGCAATGAAAGTTGAAATTTGTGCTCTAAATTTAAATCAGACTTGGGAGATTGTTGTGACTCCTTCTAATGTTAAACCCATCAGAAGCAAATGAGTTTACAAGATCAAGCGCAGAGCTGATGGTAGTATTGAACGCTACAAAACATGACTTGTTGCAAATGGTTTTTCTCAAATTGAAGGTATTAATTACGTGGAGACTTTCTCCTAGTCAAGATGACTACAATATGTGATGTTCTTGCTTTAACTTCAATCTCAATCAATGTATTTGGAGCAACTAGATATTAATAATGCTTTCTTATAGGGGGATTTAACAAAAGATGTTTACATAACTATCCCCTTGTCATTAATGACTATTCTAGCTCACATTGTTGTAAACTTTAGCCTTTTTACCAAAATCAATGGAACTAATTTTAGAGTCCTCATAGTGTAGTGTATGTTGATGATATAGTCTTGGTTGGTATATTGCTTGCATGAAATTCTAACTATTAAGCAGGTCCTAAACTTTAATTTTCACATTAAGAATTTAGGGCCTCTTAAGTATTTCTTGGGTCTGGAGTCAATATATAATATATTGGGATTCCTATTTGCCCACAAAAGTATTGCTTAGATTTGTTATCCAAATTCGGTAAGTTGGGGTGCAAGCCATCTACTACTCCTATTGATTCCTCACTTTGTCTTCATCAAGATTCAAGTGATGTAATGCTTGATCCTCTTTACTACAGATGTCTGATTGGTCATTTATTATACCTTACAAGCACACGTCCAAACTTTTTCTTTTTAGTCCAACAATTAAGTTAATTTATGGCTAACCAAACCCAAACTCACTTCCAGGTTGCGATGCATGTTCTTAAATATCTTAAAGGTTATCCCAAGAAGGCCTTCTATCTTAGGCATGATTCTTTGGTTCATATTATGGGTTTTAGTGACACAGATTGAACCACTTGCACAAATTCTTGTTTATCTGTTACATGATATTGCCTTTTTATTGACGGTTCTTGTTGAGATAAGATCGTCTAGAGAGACTGGATCATCTAAGCATATCTGATTTTGAAATTTAACAAACAACATTAAACGATATAGTCTTAGGAAGAAGGAAGCGTTTGGAGAAAATAAACATAGACACAAACATGAGAATATATATATATATATATATATATATATATATATATATATATATATATATATATATATATAGATATATATATATCTATTATATATATATATATATATATATATATATCCCTGAGTGATCACAAGAGAGAGCGCCTGAACATTAGACAACCTTTTAGAATCACCCAGACACATGTCCAACCAAGACGTAGGCAAATAAAGGAGTGAAAAACAATTAAAAGTGTATCTATCCACTAGTGCAGAACGGGCTATAGACGTCCGTTCTGTGGGTCTTTTGACGTCCGACCTCCAACGGACGTCTATGTGGGTGACGTCTAGTAGACGTCGTTGTGTCAGCCGGACGTCTATATAGACGTCCGTTGTGTCAGGCCGGACGTCTATATAGAGTCCGCTATTCAGGCGGACGTCTATATAGACGTCCGCTGTGAACCTCTCGGACGCTATACACTACTGCAGAAAGGGTTATTAGACGGGTTATTTAGGGTTATTTACCGGGTTATTTAGGATTACAGGGTTTGAGAGTTTGTTGTGCACTGAAACAGTTGAAGAGCAGATTCGAAATGAAAAATGGAGGGAGATGGAGGGGTAAACGACCTAAACGTAGGCCAAAAACGCCGCCCAAGAACACGCTACAAATGCACAAAAATGCACAAGAAAACGACTTTAATCGTTCAAATGAAAGATATTCATCACTGAACAATTTAATCGGAATAAAAGTAAGATAGTAAATGGTCCAAAACAGATAAAAACCAACCTGGAAATGCAAGGCGCCAAGGGGAACTCTCACGGGTTCGCATAACTCCTCGCGGGTTCGCGTTTTGGTAGTAAGTCCTTATTTTAAACGTCTTTTGAACGTCCGTCCTGAAGGGGGACGGACGTTTAATATATATAGACGTCCGTCCCTCCAGACGGACGTTCAAGAGGCTGACAGAGTAGTTGAAACAGTCAGCCCCTTGAACGTTCGTCCTGGAGGGGGAACGGACGTCTAATATATTAAACGTCCGTCCCCCCCCAAGCAGGACGTTCAAGGGGCTGACAGGTTCAACTACTCAGTCAGTCTCTTGAACGTCCGTCCTGGAGGGGGACGACGTTATATATATAGACGTCAGTCCCCCTCAGGACGGACGTTCAAGAGGTGACAGAGTAGTTGAAACCAGTCAGCCCCTTGAACGTCCGTCCTGGAGGG